AGACCAAAAAGACCCAAGGGTGTTTAGTAAGAGGAAGAGATGTGTGTTACTTTAGTGTCAGCTCTTCTTTCTATCAATAATCAGATCCAGCTATGCAGATTACTCTGTTAACTATCCTTTGTGATATCTAGGAATGTAATTCTATCAAAGGTCACTTTGATTCAATATACTTGCCTATCATCTGCCTTTTAACCTTGAATGTTTTTCAAATAGAAATTATATGCATGGAGAAGATTTGTTTTCATTAACAAAATTTTATGAATTTTTTAGGTGATTGCCGTATTTACATGACATACATATGCATAGTACATAACTATGTAATACAGCTCTTCTTATACAGATAAAGCCAGAGATGCAAACATCCTTCTTATTTCTAGCTTGCTCCATTTTTCAGCATGTGTCATATTTTTGGGGGCATTTCATATTGTGATCCAGGTAAATGTCTATTCTGAGTGATGCATTTCATTCATGAGACTTAACTGTATATAGCCAAAACCAGGATGCATGTGCCACAAAGTGTGAAGTGAGAGGAAATATGATTGAGAATAAGTTCATATTCATTTAGTGTTATAACATTTTTCAAAGCCCCATATTTTTCCCTATTCCACTCACCACAAGGAGAGATATGTGCCATAGAAAGGAAATCTCAGCAAGTGATAGGAAAATGTACACATTCTCATTCCATTATCTAGGTACCCTGTAAAAGACATGCAGGCTGTAGCTGGTTAGCCTTTTGTATGAAGGGCCCCTGTGCCAAAGAGCCACTGCTGTCTGGAGCCACTGGAGGAGGTTTTTCTGAGGGCAGAGCCAATGGTGAGTCACAAGGCCGAAAGCACATGGCTTATGGATCCACTAGATTTGGGACCAGGTCTTGCCAGTTTCTGTTTGGGAGCATATTTTGTTAGTGGCTGGGTTTTTAAAAATGGACATAGAGTTAAGATGAAGGGACTAGCCTTCTGATAAGTAAGGGAATGTTTAGACTACAGGTTTTTTTTGGAAAAATGGCCGTTTTTCCAAAAAAGTCACCTACATCCACACTGCAATTGCTTTCTTAGAAAGAAAATTGAAAGAATGCAGGGGGGGTTCCGACATTGGTAAACCTCATTCTACAAGGAAGAATGCCTTTTCTGAAAGAGCACTTTTGGAAAAAGGTGTGTGTGGATGCGGAAGAGGAAGTTATTTCGAAAAAAGAGGCCTCCAGGAAAAAGCACAGGTGCCCTGGTGGATATTCGGTCCACAGTAATCATAGCTCTATAGTTCCTGTCTCCTGGCACCTGTTAAAGCTGCAGGTACCCTGGAAAAGCCTTGTGCGGGAAGCAACAGCACTCTGGCTAAATTGGTTCCGGGTGGCCTTTTATAAGAGAGAGAGTCCAATGAGTGTGGATGCTTTCTTTTGAAAAATCAGATCACTTTTTCAGTCTGCTTTTAAAGTGGAAGCTCTCTTTTGAAAGAAGACTTTTTGGAATAGAGCTTTTGAAAAAGCTTCTTTTGAAAGAAGCTTGCAGCCTAGATGTACCCCCAGATAGAAAGTTACCAGAAGTCCTTGGATAGAAGAAAGAAAGAAAGAAAGAAAGAAAGAAAGAAAGAAAGAAAGAAAGAAAGAAAGAAAGAAAGAAAGAAAGAAAGACAACCAGCTTTTTCAACAAAAGGACAACTGAGTCTTTGGTCTATTATTTTATACAACTTAATAGCCTGAATTCAAAAAAAGACAGAGCAGCTCTGTTAACTCCTTATGCTGGTTTTCTGGTCAACAACACCATCTTTCCTTCTCAGGAGAGTAATGAGATCCTTTTACCTAGACTCAGCTCCATCTAATTGCTTGGGCTCAAAGAGATACCCTAAGCTGGATCTAACTCCAACACTCCATTCATCCTATCTTTCCAAAATAAAACCAATTACAGTCTGACTCAGAGTCACCTGAGCACTATTTTCTTTATTCTTACTGATCCTAAGAGAGAGATACACAGGCAAATGCAATATATACATCACAAGTTTTTCTAGTACTTCATTTATTGATCTCCCACATCCTTTTATCTCTAGATGCCAAGTAATCCAAAACTCTGATATTGGGATGCAGTACTACATTATACCTATCAGATTATTTTACCTTATTCTTTAAGAATTGCAGTAACTTCCTATCAGGCATTTGCTACATGTTGATTTTTAAAGTTATACTGGTTGTTTTTAAAGATACTGAAATATGACAGGCCAGTAAGTCCCAAAGCTGTTTGAGTCACAACTTTGTGTACCTAAATCCTGCAGAGCCTACATGTGTTGTATTCTGTAGCAGATCTGTACATGGGAAGCTTGAAAGATTGAGCCCTTGGGCTTGTTTGCAAAAATGCTATAGTGAGTTTATGTGAACAGATAAAAGTTCCTCTCTAGAAAGTGCTTATTTAAATTATACAGAAATTTGTCCTGCAGTTCTGAAACTGGAGTTGACAGATTGAAAGTGGTCCTTAGAGATTCACATCGAGTTTGAAGAAAAATATCTCACTGCATATTCAGAAGCCATGAACAATGCAGAGTCAAGTAACCAGAAACAAATGAAGAACAGAAAGTTTGACGAAAGATATATTGATTTGGTTTCATGGAATTTAGTGATGGATGACTACAAAGCAGTGTATGCTTCCAAATCCTATCAAATGAATCAGTGAAACTTGCAAAGTTGAAACGATTCCTCACAACAAGGAATATACAGATAAGTCCAGTAACTATGAAAGAAAGAAGAATTCAATCTACAGAAGACTCAAATACAGACATAACATCAGTTCCAGAAAAGGCTCTGAAAGCATCTTGCTTAACATTGCTTCGGATTGCAAAAAAGTAAAAAATGCCATACCATTGAGGAAGAACTGATTCTTCCAGCGGCTGCAGAAATATTCAGAGTGAAGGTAATTGAATATGCAGCAAAAAAACTTAAGACCATGCCACTTTCTAATGGTACTGTTAGTAGGAAAACTGAAGAGCTTTCAAATGATATAAAATGCTAGCTAACTGATGTTGGTAATGCAAAACAATTATTTGTTTTTGTTTGTCTGGGGGAAATTTTGGAAAATTTTCTTTTTCGTCAGGAGTTACGAAAATGGACAACAGGTCATAATATATTCAAATTATTTATAATTTCATGGAATTTGATTAGCTGAATTGTGAGCAATGTGTTGCTGCTTTCAACTTTGGTAGAGAACATCAGTGTTCACATTAAATATATCAGCATAGGAGAATATAATTATATTCAAGAACTGTTCTCAGCTTTTCTATGCCAACTTGTTGTCTGAGTGGAAAAACAGAAAAGGCACTGCTCTGCTCTCTTATGACTGCATACTGAAGTTTCAGGAACATACACCTTGCCAGTTTTTGCCAGTTGTTACTGTAGAGTACCCAGTTTTAGTTACAGAAACAATCAAAGTGTTGCTATCTTTCCTAACAACATATATACATGAAGCATCATTATCTGCCACGACAGCTGTGAAGACAAACTTCTGCTCCTGACTAGAAGTGGGGAATGATTGATAAATTTGCTTGTCAACCGTCACTCCAAAGGATAGATGGAGTCTACTGTAAGAAACAGGCACGCCCATCTCACTGATATCTGTAAGTACTCTTGCAATCTTTTTCCGAAAGCATTTACTAATGAAATATACATAGACTTTTATCCATCTATTTCTTAGTTATGGGTTTGTGATCCACATTGTATTTGAAAAAGAATCAATCAACAAAAAACTTTGAGAACCTCTGATCTAGTACAAATTATAACTAGACTACAATTTTAAGAACAGATGGGAAATTTAGGGAGGCAGAATGTAATTATCCAAATTGGAATTTCATCTGCACACCAGGGCTAGCATCACTATTCCGATGAAAAAAGCAATGGAATCTCTAATGACTACACGTGGTGAAAATATTGGTTTTAGTCAGCGTCTGTCATCAGCATGCTCTCCAATATCTTCCTAGGGCATTGGTTCAATGCTGAATTAGAGGGAAGAGTGCCACCTATTGAATCCCCAACAGAGCTGGGAGAATACAGAAAAAATGTATTCAGTATCATTCCTTCAAAGATAGCCATTAGAATTCACAACCCTTTTCATTCATTTCCCTTAAATATTCATGCAAGCACTGTTTGCCAGACTCTCCACAAAAAAACTAAAGTCTCATAAATATTCTGCAAAAAATACATTTACACACAAGTTCATACCCAATTTGTAATTTGCCTCTTTCAGTTTATAAGAATTTCGACCATCCAAACAAGGATCAGGAACAATAATCATACACTCCATGTAGTGAGAGATATGGGCAAATAGGCTGTATTATGTTGACATAAATTGATTAAACCAAATTCTTAAAAAACGAAGTGTGATTGTGGATAATTTATAAGTAGAAAAAAAGGGCTAGGAGCATCTAGTAAACAGTTTATTATAATCATTCACACACTTAACAAAGGGAATAGCTTTTTTAAAATACTTGTTTTATAGTCATCCTTCTAGATTGCTGAGTTTTAGTACAATGTTTCAAAACAGTTCATAGGTATAGATTGGATTGGTATCCATCATTAAGAAGACATCGATATCCTCCACATACCTCAAATTTGAGGTTCTTCCACTATCTCCAGCTATTTCCTTTCCTAGACTAGAGAATGGTCAACAAAAGTTGGAGCACTACTGGGTCAAACAGGGAACCAAGTTCCAAAGCTAAGGATGTGGAAATTCTCTTCCTCCACCACCTTTTTATTCTAACCCAAGAGTTATTAGCATGGATGCCTTATCTGGCCATGACTAATGCAGTAGTACATGGGAACAAAGATGGACTTGGGTGCAGCTTACAGCCGTCGAGGGCTTGATTCTTCAGTCACTGAAGCCTACAGAAACACTTCTGTTGACTTTAATAGATGAAGGATCAAGTTCATGTGGCTTTAAAAGTTAGCGGTAATTGTAAGTAACATTTAGAAATGTAGTAATGCCAGTGCTTTTTGTGCAAGAAACACCACTTACCAAGTGGGCAGCTGGGTTCTACACCAGATGAAGTTTGAGTGGTTTTAAGAAGCGGCCCCATGTAGAGCCTATTACAGTAATCCAATCTTGATGAATGAAATCCATGCTCTCCTGGAGCTTTCCATTAATTTCCTGCCCTGAAAATATTTAAATACAATGAAAAAATTAGAGTATTAAACAAATTTCCTTTTTGGCTTTCAAAAGGCACTGAAATAGGAAAGTCATGAGTGCATGGCAGGGCCCTTATGTTTTAAATAAGTGGTATCGTGTCTAAGCATAAGTAGCACAACACCAATTAGATTTAACAAAGTTCTTCCTTAATACCCAACATTCTGAGTGCTTTGCTTTCATCAAGGGCAGGCTACTTTCTTCCTTATAATCAGCACTGATGGATGGCATGCTGCTTTGTACCATCTACACTACTTCAGTGCTTTACACATGAAAGGCCAACAACACAGTTCTTACTTTCTGGAAATTCATCTGAAGTAACTGGGCAATTACATGGAATATTCTCCATATAGCAAAATAAATCCTGTTACCAGCTCTATGCTCAGAAATTACCAAGCTGTATTTTAATGAACTCCCCATACATTATACCATACTGTTTTTTATTATTATTATTTCAGAGAAATAGATGTGGAATAATAATGCACCATGGAGCTAGTATGTCGATTTTACTATTCTTCAAGACTGCGGTCTGCTTATCCCACCACATCCCAAAGACGAGTAATCAGGGATGAACTGAAAACTTTAAAAAAGCATAAGAAATCTCAACTAGTGTTTACCCTTTGGAGAAAGGGGAACCCAGAGAAAGTCAAACTGTTTTTCTGATAATGTATTCTCTAGTGTTTTCACTGATAATGGTTGGTATTTCAGTATGCTCATGGGTCAAGTTTTGCCCTCATTCAACTCCACTGAAATCAATATGCTGTAATGCAAGATTTGTGATAGAGTTATTTATTTGACTTTTATCGGGGTGTTTTAAATAATCCCAATGAATCCCATTTTAAATCTCAGTTAGGGAGTAAAGGATGAGGCAGATGAACTAAAAAGAAACAAACATACTATTGAATTATGTGGAATCCCAGTAAGTCAAGCGGAGTGCCTAGAATTTGATAAATACACACACACACACACACACACACACACACACACACACACCCACACACACACACACACATATACCCCTTGATTATTCAGTAAAAATTCTCCTGCATGACCTGACCCACAAACTGTAAAGGCTCTTCTGAATTAATGAGATTGTTAATATGTTTTATGCTTTTAATTTAATACATAGACAAATTTTAAGATGAATATAATTATATAATATCCAGACAGGGCACAAAAGTACATTCGTCAATTTAAATACCAGACAGAAAGTTAAGAGATGAGCTCTTATTCTGCTATTTACAATGCATGTGTGGACCTTTGTGCCCCTATGGAGTACTACTTAAGTCACTAGGTCTAAGCGTTGGTTCAGGGGCCTGCTCACATTGTAAGTTGCAGGCTCAGGACCATGATCCTTGACTTGAAGAGCTTATAGTTAGATTTTAGTTGTGATGCAGAGAGTAAAAATAGCAAACAGCTGAGTCTTGGAATATGCATATCTTGATGCTTCCCTGACATTTATAATAAAATATACATATATTTTAATATATTAACTCTTTTTTCTAGGTGACAAGGAAGAAGTAGGGTTAAGGAAAGACTTATTTAGACACCTGTCTGTAACTTGACTTCCTTAAACTTCTAAAATGTCATTGGCATTGCTCCTATTGATAGTGTTTTATAAACAAATAGACTGGAATTATTTCACTAAGTGAACACAATATTTGAAAAATAGCCTAGAACAACACTGTATTAAAGGAACACTGCATGATCAGAACTGAGGCAGGTGAATACTGCAAAGAATTTTCCTCTAATAGCATTACAGCTTTTAAAATATGGGGTGTTTTATTTTGTTTGGTTTTGTTTGTTTTGGCTATGCTCTAGGTTCTTTTGTGTTTGCCCTACAAATTTGTTTATCATGATTTTTAGTAGGAAAAATGTTCACCAAAAAAGCCAACAGTATGCAAATACTACAAAAATGTATCATTTGTATTGTATATATTGGCTACATCTAAGCTGCCCTTCTTGCGCAAGAAAATATGCAAATAAGGCAAAGCAGTGAATGTCGCCACGTCTCATTTGCATTCTGTATGAACTGCCATTTTTTTGCAAGGAGCTTTTGCGCAAAAAGGAGCCATCTACATGGCTCCTTTTTGCACAACCTACCCTTCCCCGCCCCCCCCCCCCCCCCCCGATCAAGAGCTCTTCTTCCTGAAAAAAAGGGGCAGAATGGCTCTTGCGCAAGAGCAGTTTTTTGTGGGAAAAAGGGCTGCCAAGCATAGGGGGATGGGGTAGTTGGGGGGGCAAGGGTTCACCTATCAAGAAAGAGGAAGAGCATATTTGGATACAGACTGACTAATCTATTGGTAAGGGCTTAAAACTAGGTTAAATGAGGCCAGAAAACAAAAGCTTATAGGTAAGAAAAAACACAGAGATCTGTGAGAAAGGTGGGAATCTGGGGGGGGGGGGGGGGGGG